TAAAAACATCTGTATCCGAAATGGATACAAATAGATACATTGTTGCAACCGCAATACGTTTTCATGTCAAATATAATAGCGGAGCTCTCTGCAGGGACAGAAGTAATTAAATGCCGGCTGTAGTCGGGACGAAAATCGGCCGTTTTTTTTTACCGTTGGTGGTAACGTCGGCCTATTGAACGACCAATTTTTCGGGTTTTTTTTCTGTTTTAAAAATGGCCGGTTTTCGACCCGTCTATGACCTGCATTAGGTGCGAACGTAGACTAATAGACAAGTCTTAAGGCAATTCACAATGATGTGGTGCAATTTTCCTGCAGCATGGGCGCAGTGCAGTGTATGTGATTTTCTTACGTGTTAGCTGCGCTTTGCCATAGACTTCTATTGTGTCATACAGTTTTGGTGCGCTTTCAGAAAGTCTATATTAGAAGTCTATGGCAAAGCGCAGCTAACCTGCACAAAAACTGTGTGTGCGCTGCATTGCACCTGCGGTGCAGTAAAGTGGCATCACTGTGAAAGTGTCCTTACGCCTCATTTACACAGGGCGTACCTAGGCATACACCAGTGTGAAGGGCTGTGCACAGGTGGTCCATGAATCTGCGTTCAGGCAGTCCCATTCATGTCAATTGGGACACAGCAGGTACATGGACGCAGCCACTGCTCCCGGTTTGATATCTGTGTGGGTGCACATCCCTGAATTCCCACTGTCTGTTTTCAGGGACACCAACCTGGACCCACGTGGATGTCACACTGGGATGAAAGGCTGTGCCTGTGCAGTCGGTGCGTCTCCATTACATGAATTGGACTGTCTGCAGGTTAATTTATGGAATACATGTGCATCCGGTGCGGGCAAACATCTCCCTTTGTACAAGTGTATGCTTAGGTATGCCCTTGTGTGAACAAGTCCTAACTGGGACCAGAGCACAGCCGCACCTTTAGGTCACTACTCCCAGTCCATACACGCTCTCTTTCCTTCCTCCCACTGATACCAATGATGGGGCACTATTCCTCCCACTGATACCAATGATGGGGCACTATTCCTCCCACTGATACCAATGATGGGGCACTATTCCTCCCACTGATACCAATGATGGGGCACTATTCCTCCCACTGATACCAATGATGGGGCACTATTCCTCCCACTGACACCAATGATGGGGCACTATTCCTCCACTGATACCAATGATGGGGCACTATTCCTCCCACTGATACCAATGATGGGGCACTATTCCTCCCACTGATACCAATGATGGGGCACTATTCCTCCCACTGATACCAATGATGGGGCACTATTCCTCCCACTGATACCAATGATGGGGGCACTATTCCTCCCACTGACACCAATGATGGGCACTATTCCTCTCACTGATACCAATGATTGGGCACTATTCCTCTCACTGACACCAATGATGGGTCACTATTCCTCCCACTGACACCAATGATGGGGCACTATTCCTCCCACTGATACCAATGATGGGGCACTATTCCTCCCACTGATACCAATGATGGGGCACTATTCCTCCCACTGATACCAATGATGGGGCACTATTCCTCCCACTGATACCAATGATGGGGCACTATTCCTCCCACTGACACGAACGATGGGGCACTATTCCTCCCACTGACACCAACGATGGGTCACTATTCCTCCCACTGACACCAATGATGGGGCACTATTCCTCCCACTGATACCAATGATGGGGTACTATTCCTCCCACTGATACCAGTGATGGGGCACTATTCCTCCCACTGACACCAATGATGGGACACTATTCCTCCCACTGATACCAATGATGGGGCACTATTCCTCCCACTGATACCAATGATGGGGCACTATTCCTCCCACTGACACCAATGATGGGACACTATTCCTCCCACTGATACCAATGATGGGCACTATTCCTCCCACTGATACCAATGATGGGCACTGTTCCTCCCACTGATACCAATGATGGGGCACTATTCCTCCCACTGATACCAATGATGGGGCACTATTCCTCCCACTGATACCAACGATGGGGGGCTATTCCTCCCACTGACACCAATGATGGGGCACTATTCCTCCCACTGATACCAATGATGGGTACTGTTCCTCCCACTGATACCAATGATGGGGCACTATTCCTCCCACTGATACCAATGATGGGGCACTATTCCTCCCACTGATACCAATGATGGGGCACTATTCCTCCCACTGATACCAATGATGGGGCACTATTCCTCCCACTGATACCAACGATGGGGGGCTATTCCTCCCACTGATACCAATGATGGGGCACTATTCCTCCCAATGATGAGACACGACCAATCACACCAATGATGGGGCACTATTCCTCCCACTGATACCAATGATGGGGCACTATTTTCCCACTGACACCAATGATGTGGTCACTATTCCCCCACTGATACCAATGATGGGGCACTATTCCTCCCACTGATACCAATGATGGGGCACTATTCCTCCCACTGATACCAATGATGGGGCACTATTCCTCCCACTGATACCAATGATGGGGCACTATTCCTCCCACTGATACCAATGATGAGGCACTATTCCTCCCACTGATACCAATGATGAGGCACTATTCCTCCCACTGATACCAATGATGGGGCACTATTCCTCCCACTGATACCAATGATGGGGCACTATTCCTCCCACTGATACCAATGATGGGGCACTATTCCTCCTCCTACTGACCAAAGGCACTATATAATATTTTATTCCCGCTGACCAACAAACCTGAGGCATTGTTTACTCCCACTGGCTATAGTGCAGCCCTCCAGAAGTCCGGAAGACATTAAATTGGCTTTTTTTTTTTTTTTTTTTTTTAGAAAGGTTGGTTCTAGGGTTCTAGTGCCATCAAAATCCGACCACTTCACGCACCCTTTAAAAACAAGTCAGCATTGTTAGCTCCCATAATTCTACCCTGAGAGGTCCAGCAGCAATTCAGGTCAGTGATGACATATGGATTGGTTTTTCCTGCCACAATTTTCTTCACTAAAAATGGCTTCTCTTGTGATAAAGAAACAAAAAAAAACTGTTGTCAGCTTTGCAGCTCTCCCTGTACATATAACAATATAATTTCCAGCAATGTATCCATTAGCTACATAGAAACAATCTGAAGAGAAAGTCAATACCCGACTGTATAATAAGCTTTCATTATACTTTATGATATACTTGGTCATAGAACACCTTAGATTTCTAATAAAGTGTATATATACCCAAAACTTTTTTTTTTTTAGTTTAGGATAAGGGAGGGTTAGAATTCCTGTCAGGTTTTGCTGATATCCTGGTCTCCATTAAAGAGATTTCCCCCTCACTTCCTGTTCTCGGGGTCGACATTTACTAGGGAAAATCTGCAAAAGGGAAACAGACGATGAAAATCTGACAGGAGTTCAAGAATATCCCTACTTTAAAAAAGTTTTGACGATAGATACACTTTAATGCACTTAGGTTCTTATGTGTATGAAATGTTGTACCCTCTGATCACCAAGGAATGCAATTGCCTTCATGAATGTCACAAAGAACTGATTTGTCATTGCTACAGTAGCTCTGTATTACCATGCTTTATCGGAGGAATATGGCCACTTACTATATCGTAGTGGAATATTGAGTGGGGACACGTCCACGTCTGGCCATTGGTTCTACTTTAGTGGAATACTGGGTGGGGACACATCCACGTCTGGCCATTGGTTCTACTTTAGTGGAATACTGAGTGAGGACACCTCCACGTCTGGCCATTGGTTCTACTTTAGTGGAATACTGAGTGAGGACACGTCCACGTCTGGCCATTGGTTCTACTTTAGTGGAATACTGAGTGGGGACACCTCCACGTCTGGCCATTGGTTCTACTTTAGTGGAATACTGAGTGGGGACACCTCCACGTCTGGCCATTGGTTCTACTTTAGTGGAATACTGAGTGGGGGACACCTCCACGTCTGGCCATTGGTTCTACTTTAGTGGAATACTGAGTGGGGACACGTCCACGTCTGGCCATTGGTTCTACTTTAGTGGAATACTGAGTGGGGACACGTCCACATCTGGCCATTGGTTCTACTTTAGTGGAATACTGAGTGGGAACACGTCCACGTCTGGCCATTGGTTCTACTTTAGTGGAATACTGAGTGGGGACACGTCCACGTCTGGCCATTGGTTCTAGTTTAGTAGAATACTGAGTGTGGACACGTCCACGTCTGGCCATTGGTTCTACTTTATAATGCCTTTGACTTTTTATTTTTGGCGTAGTTGGCAGGATACTTGTACACAATGCGAAATCGCAAGCAGATTTGGAAGAACACAGGTGGCACATTACACCTCAGTGGTATTCAGCTTATAACATGTATTATGGCACTTTAGATTAATTCCCAAAGCTGGAAATCAATTGATTTTTGGCACCCTGTCCACATTTCTGTCACTCTCTTAAGGCAGGACCTCGCATGCTACCAGGCTACTTTGAGATATGTAAGCATGGAGTTTGGAATGATGGTAAAATTCTTAAAAAGGAACTCAGGCTTCCAAAACGAGCAAAAAGAACAACTTAAAAAAAGTGTTGCTAAATATTATTAAAATAATTATAATACATAACATATTAAAAAAAAAGAGAAAGTGCCAGTGATGGGTTTGTGTAAAGAATGAGTTCAGGAGTGTGGAAGCATCAGTTGACCAGGGAAGGAGGTGGTAATGGGTCAAGCCAGCCATCCAACTCCTCCCTATGTAAGTGATGATGGGTCAGTCCAGCCCCATCCCATTGAGCTGCCACAGAGGAGAATGCTTAGTGTAGTTCATCAGACGTCCTCTGAGTTAGCATGTCCATTCTTTTCATAATTCTTACAGGTCTTTTGTTGAAGATGGAAGTGCTATGGGTGAGTCCAGCCCTCCCCATGTGAAGCCATGATAGGCAAGTCCAGCCTCACACATACATAAGTCCCCTATTGAAGATGAATGGGTTTGTCTAATGTCCTTCTTAGGTGTCTCCAAAAGGGAGGTGTAGTGGATTGCTCCTCAAGTGTCCCCTAGAGTCTCTCCAGTACCTTCATTTTCTTCCTCAGTCTCCAGGAGCAAGTGTTTGGCATTGTAATCCTCCCCTCGTCCAGCTCGGGACAGTACTTTTACCCATCGACGTTGAAGTTGTTCAGTTTCGGGGCTGAAGTAGAAGCTGAGCTGGCTTTGGCTGATCTTGAAGACGTGTTTGCGATCGGAGCGTTCACACTGTTCTGTTGGGGTGACCTCAAATCCGATTAAAGGGATACTCCTCTGAGCCTTCACATCCTGGGACAGAAATAAATAATGAGTAGCTGGATTCATATACAAGAACCAGCTCCACAGCTGGATCTTCTCTACTAGTCCTTCCCAATGAAAGCATCTCCTTACAAAAACTGGAGGAAACTGAAAATGTTAATCCTACAATAATTAGATGCCTATAATAAATAGATTGTAAACGTCACTATTATAATTCAGAAAAGAAAATGAATGTTAAAACGTGATTGGTTGCTACAAACAATGTTATAAGGCTTCTTTTCTTATATTTGTTTGTGGCTAAGGGCTTGTGCACATGGGCACTTAGTATCTGTAGTTTAAATGGATTTGGAAACGTGCCTACATTCAATCCGATAGCACATCAGGTCAGATGGCAGTCGGGTATAAATGGACAGGCAGTCCATTTACATCCGACCACCCATAGGGGAGAGTGGGCTGTGTCTGTCTCCTCTCTGCCTAAGTGGACACGGACCTGTCATCCACCTGCTCAGTGAGTATCAGCAGACAGATCCACTGCTGAGCAAGCGGATTGCAAGCAGTGTCCACCCAGTGTAAAGGGGACCTTATAGGTACAAATGAAACAAATAAACTAACTTATGTTTAAGACTTCTTTAGTCTGGATTTCTCAAGGGCTTCACCCATCCTCTGGAACTCCCTACCCCAATCTATCAGGCTATCGCCTACTCTGCTCACCTTTAGGCGCACTCTGAAAACCCATCTCTTCAGGGAAGCCTACCCCGAACCCAGCTAATACTGCAATCCTCTACTCTTCCTACCACTCCATCCCCCACAGCTAATTACCTCTTGTACCACTATCCCCTCCCTCCTAGATTGTAAGCTCCAAGGATCAGGGCCCTCTAATCCCTCTTGTATTGAACTGTGTTGTTACTGTACTGTCTCCCTCCATAATGTAAAGCGCTGAGCAAACTGTCGGCGGTATATAAGTCCTGCATAATAATAATAATAATTCCCCTGACCCTGAGGCTACATACAGTTAATACATGGCACCCAGCAAGTGCAGGTTAGTGCAGTAAATAGACTGGGCCAGTTGGCCTAAATGAACTATGTAAAGGGACATTAAAAGCAAAGATTAGCTTTAACCTTGACCATTTCACAAAGGTAGGAACACTTGGAAATTCCAGGTGGATAAGAGCTGAGAAATCTTGCTGAGAAATCAAGAGATGACTCAGCCACTAGGTTCCAACTATAACTATCATATCACTTTTGGGTGGAATGACATGATTTTGAAGGTGCATTTTGGATAATTCTGACTCTTGTGATCTGATAAATATACCTGTGGAGCTCCATAGATGTACAGCACCAAGGGCTCATTCTGAGGGATGACAAACCAGCCTTTGTGCCAGCTCTTCGCTCCCTTTTCCATGTAATGCATGTAACTGCACAATATACTGTGCTCTGCTACTACCGACGCTTGTTTCTGTAAAGAAGCAAAAAAATAAATGGAATTTACATTGATTCCAAAAGCTAATGAAAAACACAAACACATCTTTCTCAACTAGTCACTCTTGATCCACATATGTGCTAGCCACCAGGCTCCTGGCTAATGCTGGCCAGTGCTGTGAGATTGCTGAAAAGGGACGGAGTAAGGAAGGGTTAAAAAAACAACACCAATTCATTTTTTGCTGTCTGTGTATAATTGGGGAAATTTTCCTTCTCTTCCTGTCCCAGAGACACAACAAGAATAGAGAAACTCTACCAAAATGAGCAGAATTGGCTGATTATATAGAAAAGGTGAGATTTTCCCTGCCCCTCTTGTTCTGGGGATAGCTCTATGATTTCCTCTTCTGTAACAATGGTCATGAATCTCTGCAATAGCAATAAAAACTTGACAGATGGTCTAACCCTTCCCTACTCTATTCAAAACTAAAAATAAAGGTTTTGTCTAGAGATACACTTTAAAGAAGAGTTCCAAGCAGCACTTTTTATATCCATATATTTATAACTGCTGCATAACATACCAACACATCCTTTTTGTGTAATGGATAAATACACAAAGTTCATGCATCCTTTTTGCCCTTCCATCCAAGATACGTACTTACATCGCAATTGTGCCTCTGTGGTCTCCAAGGTTTGTAAAGATTTGAGTTTGCGGCTCTTCGGTGCGTTGGTTATGCCAGCGCAGTAGCTTCTCTTCTATGGAAGATCACCTATAGATCCCTATCCCTATGAGATCCCTGAGAACTACTGCCCAGGCTTGACCAGTGAATAGAACATCAACAATATAGGCACAGCTGCAAAGTATGCAGTCAGCCTATATTAAGTGGGGAAACACTGCTGGGTCCCAATCATAGCTCTGCTCCCTGCCAGTGTCAGGCCCTCAATATATGAGTGTCCATTCTTGGGGCGGACTGACAACTCATGGGGCCCCCGGGCAATAGGGGATCATGGGGCCCCTGTGTCCTTGCCAGTTGGCGGACACACCCAAAAATGCCTGTGAAAAAGCCAATGAAAGGTACCAAGGGCATCTCATGGGGCCCCCTACTGACCCCGGGCCCTCGGGCAGTGCCCTAGTGCTCGAATGGTCAGTCCGTCCCTGTGAGTGTCATGCAAGGTCATCAAGAAGCTGTCTCATATTCCCCATATAGCGACCCTGACGGTTTCACTTCATCTCATGCACTGCAAAACCCTGGAGACCCACCGTCCCTCATGTATGATAATAGTTGGATCTAGACTTTTGATATGACACAGAGACATGAATTGTACATTTCCTTTGAGTCCACCGATGCACAGCTACTCTGTAACAGCTCTTGATGAAGTCACACTGAGCACATATAAAAAGTATATATATTCAAGTAATACCTCTAAGATGGATTTCCTTCGTTGAGGTGTGTGAGTGATGTAAGCGGGGCTGAGCACAGAACCGTGTAGGGCAGTGTAACAATCTATACACACGCGGTTTTGTTCGGTTGTTGTCATAGACCAGCCGAGCACGAAATTCTGAACATTTTCCACAAACCACCTGCAATACAAGAACAAGGAGGGTGATGAATTTTGGCTGAGATGCAGACACAGAAAATGGAAATGAAAGGAAACGTGCTATGATTAATACAAGGCTGCCAACTGCTAGTTGCCTGGCTGTCTCTGGCATTGAGCCACTGACACAGTTCTAGAATTGAAAGTCTGATGCGAATACATACAACACTGGGAAGGAGTGAAGGGATCAGCACTAAAGATAATTGATTATAAAAGAAAGCATTACTGGGTTGAGAGGGCAATTGGCATTCAGAAGGGAAAACAGAAAGAACAATAGAACTGAATGGACACAAAGACTGATAGGAGAACATAGCAGAGAAAAAGAAGAACAAGGGAATCAGTGGGAATATGAAAAGAACAATCCAACATGGAGAAAAACATGAATCTAAGAGAAATAAACAGCAAATGCAGTTATAAATATGGAAGAATAATCAACAACAGTAATAATAATAATAATAATAATAATAAGAAAATGAATAAGATACAGAGAAGACAATATAAGTGGACAGTAATGCAGCATGGGGTAAAGGAAAAAAGTCTGAATAACTGGAGACCACACAGAAAGGGGAGATGGTGGCGGATACAAGGTAAATAAGATATACTCACATGGCCACAGGCTTTGCAGTGGTGCCTCCTTTTGGTTATAGAGTTAAAAGCTTCTTGGCATTTCATGCACATGGTTACCTCCTTCTCCCTGATTGGAGTTGGTGCTCGCTTACCCAGGTCTGTGTTCTGTATAAAGAATATGCGGTATATGAAAACAACTGGTAGGCGAGCTGAAAGGATCGTGAAATCATATTTACAGTATCTCACAGAAGTGAGTACACTACTTTGCTACTATGTGGCGTAGTGAGTGTACAGCTTGTATAACACGGGCAGCACAGTGGCTAAATGGTTAGCACTTCCGCCTGGCAGTACTAGGGTCATTGGTTCGAATCCCAGGACTCACTTTTCTTGCCAGCGGTTTAGACATTAATGGCTGTGTGTTGAGTTATTTTGAGGGGACAGCAAATTTACATGTTATACAAGCTGTACACTCACTACGTCACATTGTAGCAAAGTGTCATTTCTTCAGTGTTGTCACATGAAAAGAGAGAATCAAATATTTACAATAATGTGAGGGGTGGACTCACTTCTGGGAGATACTGTATGTCCTCAAATCTATGATTCAAATCTATGATCCAAATCTATGATCCGCTGCTTGAAAGTCTTAAGCTGGCCATACAGCTGTGAATGACTTTGTTGGCACCCTCCCATTCAACATCTTTCAACCTTAAAAATTGACAGAGCTGGATGGAAAATTGTCAGACAAACAGCAGCCACATTCAGTCAGATGCAGCCATGGTTCGGGTATTCCACTGTTCGGGTATTTCAAATGGATGCAGCCACTGTTCGGGTGCATGTTGTCAGAAAACAATAGCCAGCAGGACAGATTTCTCCAGGCATTCTGTTTAATGTGGATGTGGCAAATAATCGATTCTTCTGTGGGGCTGAACAAGAACAATCTTACAGTGTATGACCCATTTTAGTCTGAGTAAATTCTGGGCTCTGTTGTCTGCACCTTTGTGTCCCAGCACAAGATGTCAGAAACATGTAAGATGAAGAGGGAATCTCTGCCACCTGGTTACAGGTCCCACATTGGGGAGTTTCATTGTATCCTTCGCACTTCTTACAAGCTCGCCCACGGTTTGTGTAGGATGCTCTAGTGAATTGGTGGACGGTGCCACCATGCAACCACAGGATAATAGGAATCTTGCACACCTTGGTATAGGGGTACTCTTGTCTTTTATTCACATATAGCAACAGGTATCACAGGACCAATGTTTTCAGGGCAGAGTGAGGCACTCATGACACTATGCCTTAAAAACAGGATCCTGTGATGTCCTGGGACATCGGCCTGTGATACCCATTGTTTTATGTGAACACAGGACTAGATTATCAGAAGATCCCTGGGCCCGTCCCACACTGGGACATGTATCTCCTTCATGATTCATGGAACCTCAAATTGCAGAGTTGTGTGGAATTGTTGTGTAACATCTTCCTAAATGCCGCTGAATTGTCAGCCTCCTTCCTAGGAATTCAAGCCATTTCTTACCGGTGAATTGGGGGGAGTTTTTCTTCATCTTCTCGATGAGAGGAATTAAGCAGTTTGAACTGCTCTACTGTCTGCTCATGACGACTCATGGTGGCTTCGATTGCCTACAATTAAAGGATACACAATGACAATGGGCAACAATGATATGCAAAACATAGAATGACAATGCAATTCAAAGTTCATTCACATCAGTGAGAGAAGAATAAAAACTGGGTGCTTTTTTCTTATACAAGCAGCTTGTATTACCTTCTATGCTTGTACATAATGTTACTCATCAGTAGAAATACAGCATATTATAGAATATGTGGAATACTGCTTATTCTGAATGTATAGCCCCCTTCATATTTATACCATGTTATATTGCATCTTAGGTAAATGAAGTATAATACCTCCTGTGACAGTGTGACGATCTGTCACCCAGGATTCTCAACAAGGCAGGTTGAGGGGGTCCAGGGTAAGTGTTTGATACGGAGGACACTGGCTTTTCACTTTCCTCCTTTGTTTGTAAGGTCTGTTTTGGGATCTGGAGCCTGGAGATTTCAAAGAGATCTGGGAAGGATGAATTCTCCAATCCTGGGACCAGGTTTTGGAAATGGCCAGGATACTGATTGCACAGGTGTGTGCAGGCCTTTTCATCAGGACCAGTCAGGACCAGGGTTCTGGGCTCCACCCCGGCAGATAGGAGTCAGGAGGGCTCCAACCCAGCAGATAGGAGTCAGGAGGGCTCCACCCCGGCAGATAGGAGTCAGGAGGGCTCCACCCTGGCAGATAGGAGTCAGGAGGGCTCCACCCCGGCAGATAGGAGTCAGGATGGCTCCACCCCGGCAGATAGGAGTCAGGAGGGCTCCACCCTGGCAGATAGGAGTCAGGAGGGCTCCACCCCGGCAGATAGGAGTCAGGAGGGCTCCACCCCGGCAGATAGGTGTCAGGAGGGCTCCACCCCGGCAGATAGGAGTCAGGAGGGCTCCACCCCGGCAGATAGGTGTCAGGAGGGTCAGGAGATAGGGGCTCCAGGGCTCCCCGGCAGATAGGAGTCAGGAGGGCTCCACCCCGGCAGATAGGAGTCAGGAGGGCTCCCACCCCGGCAGATAGGTGTCAGGAGGGCTCCACCCCGGCAGATAGGAGTCAGGAGGGCTCCACCCCGGCAGATAGGAGTCAGGAGGGCTCCACCCCGGCAGATAGGAGTCAGGAGGGCTCCACCCCGGCAGATAGGAGTCAGGAGGGCTCCACCTGGAAGACAGGAGTCAGGAGGGCTCCACCAAGGAGAGGTGGAAGCCAAAAGCGGCAAGGAGCTGCTTGGGAGTAGCTGTGTGCTAGTGGCCAGCTGTGTGCGAGAGCCATGTTTTTGAAAGAGTCTGCAGGAGACAGACGTAAGCCTGAAGAGGAAGGCCAGTGGAAGATTGTGTATATCTGAGAGAGCCAGGAGGCTGAATTTTGTTTATGTGGATGATAGATACCCCTGTGTGGGAAACTTCTGATGTTTTGAACTTTCATTTAAATAAAAGTGGGCTAAAAAGGCCCTGAAAAATAAGCGAGTTGCTGTGTGCGTTTAACCAAGCTCTACCATTTGAAGCGAGTTCCCACACTCCCTATTAGATATCTTGCACACGGTACTGATGTTTTTAAAATGTAATTTCAGGCACATGTTTTCCACGTATCTGTGCGTATTTATACGTATATTTGCACGCATACGTGCATTTGTGCACACAATATATTCTTAGTGAAAATTGATTAATACTTACACTCATATGCACGTATTTATGTGTATTTGCGCACAGGCGGCGTAAATTACTGACCAAAAATTTAGATTTTCCTAATTTTTTTTTCATGAGGAATACGCAGCACTTATTTACGTGCCTGTGTGCCAAGGCACATTGTAAATAATAGGCTACATTTTACCTCACTACAAAAAAACACTGTACTGAGCTTTTCCAAGCTGCAAGAGTATGCAAGAGGCCTTAACCACTTCCAGTCGGACACTTTTACCCCCTTCCTGTCCAGGGCAATTTTCAGCTTTCAGCGCTATCACACTTTGAATGACAATTGCGCGGTCATGCAATACTGTACCCATATGAATTTTTTACCATTTTTTTGAGACAGATAAAGCTTTATTTTGGTGGTATTTATTCACCGCTGGGTTTTTTTTTTTTTTTGCTATGTAAATGAAAAAGTCCAAAAGTTTTGAAAAAACTGTTTGTTTTTTTTAATAAAATTTTGCAAATAAATAATATTTCATCATAAATCTTGGCCAAAATTTATTCCGTTATTTTTTTAGTAAAAAAAAAAAAATCCAAATTAGTTTATAAGCAAAAATTATAATTTTTTAAACATTTTTTTTTTACATTTTTATTTTATTTTTTTTATATTATTATTTTTTATTTTTTTATTTTTTTTACATACTGTCACCCTAGCAGTACAGTGTCACCATATAGGATATAAAAGCAGTCATTTCTCTTTCTCTCTGTCTGCATTCTTGCAGTCATTGAGAAGTATTGAGTGAGCTGTGATTGGTCACAGCTTGTCACATGGTACAAGGCTGTTGTGAATAGCCTTGTACCATGTGACCTCTGTGATCATTCACAGATTTCACACGTAGTAAGCAATGATGTCATTGCTTACTACGCGCTCCTTCGCGCTCACAGAGCACACTCAATCCTCCACCCACATCATTGGGAACACCCTGGACCTCGTCTTCTCCCACCTCTGTACCCTCAACCAGTTCTCTAACACCCCCTTCCTTCTCTCCGACCACCACCTCCTCACGTTCTCCATCTCCCCTTCCCCTAACTCCCCCCCCCCCAGAGCGCCAAACCATCACCAGCCGCAACCTCCGCAACCTGAACCTGGCCCCCCTCCACTCAGCTGCCGACCGCCTACACGACAGCATCCTTCCACTGTCATGTCCTGACCTAGCCACTAACACGTACAACGACTCACTATCAGCTACCCTAGACTCTCTGGCACCCCTAACCACACGCTACATCAAACCCAGACCGCTCCAACCATGGCAGAACGACCACACTAAATGCCTCAAACGCCGCAGTCGCGCGCTAGAGAGACTATGGTGCAAAACCAGGTCCCCCCGTTCATTCTCCCTCTACAAATCTGCCTTCCTCACTTACACCTCCTCCCTCCACGCCGCCGCCAAGCAGGCTTACTTCGTAAACCTGATCAACACCCTCTCCTCCTGCCCTCGCCGACTCTTCTCCACCTTCAACTCCCTACTCTCCCCCCCCCTCCTCCACTCAGTACCTCACTCACCGCCCACGAAATTGCCACTCATTTCCACAACAAGATTGATGCAATCCGTCAGGACATAGTCAACTCGCAATCTACCTCTCCACCTAGCCCCCCCCCATCTCCCCCTCATCTCTTCCCTCCTCTGACCTCGCAACCGCACTGCCCCCCTCCACACCCAAGTCCCCGCTTACCGTACCCCCCCCCCCCAGCTCTGCACTCCTTCAGCCCCGCTACCACTGAGGAAGTCACCAGGGTCTTCTCAGAAGCCCGCCTCACTACCTGCCCCCTGGACCCTATCCCCTCTCGACTCCTCCAGTCACCCCCCTCTTCCCTCATCTGCTCCCTCACCCACATCTTCAATCTCTCCCTCTCTACTGGCGTATTCCCCTCCCCCCTAAAGCATGCGCACATCACCCCCATACTCAAAAAGCCCTCCCTGGACCCCTCTGACCCAAACAACCTCAGACCCATCTCCCTGCTGCCACTCACTTCCAAACTCCTGGAGCGCTTAGTCTACGACCGCCTAAGCGCCCACCTAACTGACAACAACCTCCTTGATCCACTACAGTCCGGCTTCCGTCCCCTACACTCCACCGAAACCGCCCTCCTCAAAATCACCAACGACCTACTAACCGCCAAAGCCAAAGGCGACTACTCTGTCCTCCTCCTCCTGGACCTCTCCGCGGCCTTCGACACAGTTGACCACCCCCTCCTCCTTAATAAACTACTCTCCTTTGGCATCAGAGACACCGCTCTCTCCTGGTTCTCCTCTTACCTATCCCGACGCTCCTTCAGCGTTTCCTACAATGGTGCCACCTCCCCTTCCCTCCCCCTCTTTGTTGGGGTCCCCCAGGGCTCTGTCCTTGGACCCCCTTCTCTTCTCCATCTACACCTCCTCCCTTGGCAAACTCATACACTCCCACGGCTTCAACTACCACCTCTACGCTGATGACACTCAAATTTACCTCTCCACCCCCCACCTCACCCCCACATTCTCCGCCCGAATCACTCACCTCCTAAACGACATCTCTGACTGGATGTTGCTCCATTTCCGCAAGCTTAACCTCTCCAAAACCGAGCTTCTCGTCTTCCCTCCTGCCCGCGCCCCCCCCCCCCCCCCCATCCTATCCATCACTACTAACATCATCACCACCATCAATCCCGCCCCGCAAGCCAAAGTCCTTGGAGTCATTCTGGACTCTAACCTCTCCTTCCAACCTCATGTCAAATCACTTACAAACACATGCAGGCTCCACCTCCGGAACATCGCCAAAATACGCACCTTCCTTACCCCAGACACCACTAAACTACTCGTACACTCCCTGATTATCTCACGCCTTGACTACTGCAACTCCCTCCTCACCGGCCTACCCCAGTGCAGGCTCTCCCCGCTTCAGACCATCCTGAACTCAGCGGCCAGACTCATCCACCCTCACCACCCGCTCCACCTCTGCCACCCCCCTCTGCCTATCCCTCCACTGGCTCCCTATCGCCCAACGCATCAAATTCAAACTACTCACTCTGACCTACAAAGCCCTTCACAACACTGCCCCTGACTACCTCACCAACCTGATTCCCAAGTACCACCCTACCCGTACCCTTCGCTCTTCACAGGACCTCCTTCTATCTTGCTCCCTGGTCTCCTCCTCACACGCACGTCTGCAAGACTTCTCCAGGTCCTCCCCCATCCTCTGGAACTCACTACCCCAATCCATCAGACTGTCACCTTCCCTCCTCACCTTCAGGCGCTCCCTGAAAACCCACCTCTTCAGGGAAGCCTACCCCACCCTCACCTAACTGCTGCTCTCCTTCATTCCTCCTACCACTCCATCCCCCACAGCCACTTCCTCCTGTACCACTACCCCCTCCCTCCTAGATTGTAAGCTCGAAAGAGTAGGGCCCTATAACCCCTCGTGTGCTGTTTGTAGGTGCTGTAATGTTTCATGTATTGTCCACCCCTCTATTGTACAGCGCTGAGCAAACCCTTTGGCGCTATATAAACTCGATGTAATAATAATAATAATAATGTCACAAGTGACATCTTGCTTACTACTTTGCATGTGATCACTGATTGGCCAATCAGTGATCACATGATCGGGACCTCGTACAGAGGTCCTGTCCGACGATCGGTGTTTCACTGTGTCCGGAGGACACAGCGGGCACCGGATCGCGGTGCTGTGCGCTCCCAGGGAGCGCGCACAGCTAGAAAAGGTGGGTACCGTTTATGAACGGCAACCCGCCCCTTGACTGCCACCACCCTGCCATTTATAAACAGCAGGCGGACGGCAAGTGGTTAAGGGGCACATATCTGCTGGTAGTATGAGGTTTCTATTTCTTGAAGATAATTTGACCAATTACTTGTTCCCTCTTCTATTGAGGGTAAGTAAACAAAATCATTTGGTTCTGAAATGAGATATTATAGTAAATGTCTACTACTTATGATGAGAATATATTGCAAGTGGATTGAATAGCCAAGTGTGGGATACAACTTGCCAACAACAATGCAAAACTGAATGGAGTTCACCTCTATATTTGGTTAATAAATTCTCTAAACTTACATGCAGTTGAAAATAAGTTCTTACCTGAATCCACTCCTTCTTCTCTTCTTCGGTTCTGGAAAGAAAAACAAAAAATAAGTCTTTTATATAGCTGTAGTTTTCACTATTTGCTCTGTTGAATTTGCTTAACCTCCCTAGCGGTCTGATTATGTCCATATTTCTGTGCTCAAAGCGGTACATTTTTTTGCATGGAAATATGTATTTTTTTTATTGTAGGCCTGTAATTTTTAGGATTAACTCACTGAAATCTGTACGAAAAAGAGTCTAGTAAACATCATGTATGTTAAAATTTGAAACACGAAATCATAAATTATAATTTAATAAATAATCATAAAAAATAATATAATAATAATAAATTTAAATTTAATTCAATAATATAATCAAACCAAAAACACTGAAATTTGAAATATAGCGTCAAGTTCGCACATCACTGAGCAAAGTCGCAAAATCGTTTTCAGTGCCTGATGACGAATTTCCCCCACGAATCATTATCACTAAATTCTGCAAATTGTTCTAGTTTACTATCACTGTTCTCTAGCTGATCTAAAACCGCTTTTGACCTAAAGGGACGCTTTTTGGATGCCATGGACATGTCTCAGTTTCCAGTCAGAAAGAACAGTAAAAATGCAGGCAGGGCACAGGACAAAGCACTCGGGACCAAATGTTTGTGAAATGGGTTGATACTGTAATGTTTTACTATGTGAATTTAGTGAATTTAGTGAATGTGACTTTTTGTCATTTTCAAATTTCCCGCCGTTCCGTCCCCGTACGTCCCGACGTCGCAGTGGACGCAACCTGGAAGACAGATGCCGGCATCGGCCGGAGGACATTACAGGGGACACTGCAGGAGGGACATCGCGGGAGCGCAGGACAAGGTAAGAGAAGAACAGATCCCGGAGCAGCGCCACATGGTATTCCCGAGTGTAGCTCGGGGGTTACCGCTTGTGGTACTGAAACTTTACCCCGAGCTACACTCGGGAATACCGCCAGGGAGGTTAATAAAAGTGGTGGGGGGAGAATAGGCCTGTAGGAAGGACCATTTGAATTTTAAAGGATTAGTTCAGCTTTGGGAACATGTTACATGTTCAACCCATTTTTAGGGTGGAGCATGTATCATGTTCCCACTGTTGCAGGTGCTGCCTTATTTCTGCCCTAAGCCCTTAGGGGTGATATGCCCTCTTCTTTCCCCTCCCTTCTCCTCCTCTTAATCCTTGCCGTCCTCTATAGGAATCCCCCATAACCCCTACTTTCCAACTTCATGCGCTCATGCCTCAATGTTGGCCACAACCCATGCCACCCCTAAGTGTGAAACTTGTACACCCTTTTTACTGAGTCTGGGTAACCCATGGTTCATTCTTACCACTATGGGGGGGATTTACTAAAACTGGCGCACTCAGAATCTGGTGTAGCTGTGCATGGTGGCCAATCAGCTTCTAACATCAATTTGTTCAATTACGCTTTGAAAATAAAACCTGGAAGCTGATTGGTTTCTATGCAGGGCTGCACCAGATTTTGCACTCACGGTTTTAGTGAATCTCCCCTCGACGTACCTTCCACCATATTATGCTGGCTGGAATGGTAATTAATAGCCCCAGTGGGACAGTACTGTACTGTTGAATAAAACTACTGAAATAGAAAAAAGGGCAGGCAAATCTGTGCTACCAGAAGAGGGAGATCTCACTGGTGGGGTTCAAGACAGCATTATCTTGCCTAATTTTTAAATTGGAACATTCAGTAACTTATACAGCAACAGTATATTTCTCAGAGAAAAACTCTTCCTTTTATCAGTAAAGAGTTACTTCATCTAGGCAGAGGAGATGTTATCAACCTGCTGCAAGAAGAAAAAAGCATTTCCTCTGTCTCTCTTACCCCATTGTTCACTTAGAGTATACATTGTAACTTTGTTGGTAAGTGATAGAGCAGTGGTTCTCAACCTGTGGGTCGCGACCCCTTTGGGGGGTCGAACGACCATTTCACAGGGGTTGCCTAAGACCATCGGAAAACACATATTTCCGATGGGTAAAGAGCAGCTGCTGTGTAGAAAGCAGCTTCTGTGTTGAAAGCAGCTACTGTGCAGAAAGCAGCTACTGTGTAGAAAGCAGCTACTGTGTTGAAAGCAGCTGCTGTGCAGAAAGCAGCTGCTGTGTTGAAAGCAGCTACTGTGCAGAAAGCAGCTACTGTGCAGAAAGCAGCTACTGTGTAGAAAGCAGCTACTGTGTTGAAAGCAGCTACTGTGTTGAAAGCAGCAGTATTGGAGGTAAAACGACACTTCATGAATTATAATTACTGGGTAAATAATTATAGGGTTGGGGGTCACCACAACATGAGGAACTGTATTAAAGGGTCGCGGCATTAGAAGGTTGAGAACCACTGTGATAGAGGCTGCAGAAGGAGGATAATGTGTCAGAAATTTGTAAACATAGCCAAGAACTACATAGGCACCATAATTTATATGACTGTCATCACTGAGCAAGCATCTCAGTCCAGGAAGTAGATGCTGATCCTGGATGATGCTTAGATGAAAACGACACCACATTTCTGGTTTAGAAAAGCAGATAAATTGTGATCTCTGTGAGAAGTAATGAACACCTAAAGTGTAAAACGTAGCATGCATGCACCTGATGTGAGCATTATAGCTGATGCTAGGTCCACCTTAAAAGTCTGAAAATTCAGCTGCTATGATGTGAAGCATAGAATACCTGGCTTGGAGCTCCAGGGATCGTTGTTTTCCAGACACTAGAAAGGTTCTTGTCAGATTAGGGCTGCTGCTGTGTTTGAGCTGAAATGGAAACAAAGGAAAACAATAAATCATTTGTCAATTATTCTTGATCAATCGATCTTGTCTCTAAATATCACCCAAACCGTACTCTCTGCTCCTCCCAAGACCTCCTACTCTCTAGCTCCCTTGTCTCCTCCTACCATGCTCGTGTCCAGGATTTCTCAAGGACTTCTCCCATCCTCTGGAACTCCCTACCCCAATCTATCAGACTATCGCCTACTGTGCTCACTTTTAGGTGATCTCTGAAAACCTCTCTTTAGGGAAGCCTACCCCGCCTCCAGCTAATACTGGAATCCTCTACTCTTCCAAACACTCCATCCCCTACAGTTATTTACCTTTTGTACCACTATCCCCTCCCTCCTAGATTGTAAGCTCCAAGGATCATGCCCTCTAATCCCTCTTGTATTGAACTGTATTGTTACTGTATTGTCTCCCTCCAAAATGTAAAGCGCTGAGCGAACTGTTGGCGCTATATAAATCCTGTATAATAATAATAAGTATTACAAACCAACTCCTTTTTTTTTTCTGTAACTTTGGCTTAAAAAGGTTATGTGCTACTTGTCATACTTGTCACTCACCTCCATCCCATCCACATCAATCCTGGCTCGCACACTGTACTTCTGACCAATCAGACGCAGTTTTGGGACACAATAGAGTAGGCGGTCATTGAACTGTAAAACAAATACAGTATGTAGTCTGCCCATTTACTATGGTGCTAATTGGGGGTCATTGATTGTTTTATCACATAGGTAAATAGTTACATAGTTAGTCTGGCTGAAAAAAGACAAAAGTCCATCCAGTTCAACCATTAAAAAAAAAAAAAGGTTCTAATTCTATACCCACATTTGATCCATTCCAGAGGAAGGCAAAAAAACCCCCAGCAAAGCATGATCCAATTTGCTCCTGCAGGGAAAAAAATTCCTTCCTGATCCCCTGAGAGGCAATCAGATATTCCCTGGATCAACTTTACCTATAAATGTACAGCAAAACACAGATGTCTTACTATACATATACAATAGCAATTCTCAATCAGGGGTCTGTGAAACCCTTGGGTTCCTCTCAGGGGTGGACTGACCATTTGGAAACTCGGGTCAGTAGGGGACCCCATGAGATGCCCCTGGTACCTTTTTCATAGGATTTTTTGAGTTTGGGCAAGGACACAGGGCCCCATGATCCCCTATTGCCCTGGGGCCCCATGAGTTGTCAGTCCGCCCCTGGTTCCTCTAGAGCAGTGGTTCTCAACCTTTCTAATGCCGCGACCCCCTTAATACAGTTCCTCATGTTGTGGTGACCCCCAACCATAAAATTATTTTCATTGCTACTTCATAACTGTAATTTTCAGTGGGGGGGAGTAGTGCCCCATCGTTGGTGTCATAGTTGCCCCATCGTTGGAGCCAAGTGTGCCCCACGTTGGTGTCAGAGTAGTGCCCCATCGTTGGTGTCAGTGGGGGGGGGAGTAGTGCCCCATCGTTGGTGTCAGTGGGGGGGGGAGTAGTGCCCCATCGTTGGTGTCAGTGGGGGGGGGAGTAGTGCCCCATCGTTGGTGTCAGTGGGGGGGGGAGTAGTGCCCCATCGTTGGTGTCAGTGGGGGGGGGAGTAGTGCCCCATCGTTGGTGTCAGTGGGGGGGGGAAGTGCCCCAGTCACAGTAGTGCCCCATCGTTGGTGTCAGTGGGGGGGGGAGTAGTGCCCCAGGGCAGTGGGGGGGGGAGTAGTGCCCCATCGTTGGTGTCAGTAGTGCCCCATTTCTGTCAGTTAGTGCCCCATCGTTGGTGTCAGTGGGGGGGGGAGTAGTGCCCCATCGTTGGTGTCAGTGGGGGGGGGAGTAGTGCCCCATCGTTGGTGTCAGTGGGGGGGGGAGTAGTGCCCCATCGTTGGTGTCAGTGGGGGGGGGAGTAGTGCCCCATCGTTGGTGTCAGTGGGGGGGGGGGAGTAGTGCCCCATCGTTGGTGTCAGTGGGGGGGGAGTAGTGCCCCATCGTTGGTGTCAGTGGGGGGGGGAGTAGTGCCCCATCGTTGGTGTCAGTGGGGGGGGGAGTAGTGCCCCATCGTTGGTGTCAGTGGGGGGGGGAGTTGCCCCATCGTTGGTGTCAGTGGGGGGGGGAGTAGTGCCCCATCGTTGGTGTCAGTGGGGGGGGGAGTAGTGCCCCATTGGTGTTGGGGGGGGAGTAGTGCCCCATCGTTGGTGTGTGGGGGGGGGAGTAGTGCCCCATCGTTGGTGTCCTAGTGCCCCATCGTTGGTGTCAGTAGTGCCCCCGTTGGTGTCAGGGGGGGGGGGGAAATAGTGATCGTTGGTGTCAGTGGGGGGAGGAATAGTGCCCCATCGTTGGTGTCAGTAGTGCCCCATCGTTGGTGTCATGGGGGGGGGGGAGTAGTGCCCCATCGTTGGTGTCAGGGTGGGGGGGGGAGTAGTGCCCCATCTTGGTGTCAGTGGGGGGGGAGTAGTGCCCCATCGTTGGTCGTCAGTGGGGGGGGGAGTAGTGCCCCATCGTTGGTGTCAGTGGGGGGGGGAGTAGTGCCCCATCGTTGGTGTCAGTAGTGCCCCATCGTTGGTGTCAGGGGGGGGGGGAAATAGTGCCCCATCGTTGGTGTCAGTGGGGGGAGGAATAGTGCCCCATCGTTGGTGTCAGTGGGGGGAGGAATAGTGCCCCATCGTTGGTGTCAGTGGGGGGAGGAATAGTGCCCCATCGTTGGTGTCAGTGGGGGGAGGAATAGTGCCCCATCGTTGGTGTCAGTGGGGGGAGGAATAGTGCCCCATCGTTGGTGTCAGTGGGGGGAGGAATAGTGCCCCATCGTTGGTGTCAGTGGGGGGAGGAATAGTGCCCCATCGTTGGTGTCAGTGGGGGGAGGAATAGTGCCCCCATCGTTGGTGTCAGTGGGGGAGGAATAGTGCCCCATCGTTGGTGTCAGTGGGGGGAGGAATAGTGCCCCATCGTTGGTGTCAGTGAATAGTGCCCCATCGTTGGTGTCAGTGGGGGGAGGAATAGTGCCCCATCGTTTGGTGTCAGTGGGGGGAGGAATAGTGCCCCATCGTTGGTGTCAGTGGGGGGAGGAATAGTGCCCCATCGTTGGTGTCAGTGGGGGGAGGAATAGTGCCCCATCTGGTGTCAGTGGGGGGAGGAATAGTGCCCCATCGTTGGTGTCAGTGGGGGGAGGAATAGTGCCCCATCGTTGGTGTCAGTGGGGGGAGGAATAGTGCCCCATCGTTGGTGTCAGTGGGGGGAGGAATAGTGCCCCATCGTTGGTATTAGTGACACAAATGATGGGGCACTATTCCTCCCACTGACACCAATGATACTTACCTTGCTGACCCCTGCTCCAGCCTGGGCTCGCTCTCTCTCACTTACCTGTCAGCTGTCTTCCTTCTCTGGCCTCTCCTCTTCACTCGCTCCCTCGGTCTTCTTTGATGTACGCGCGCTGCCGCTTGGCTCCTCCTCTCCAAGCTCCACCTCCTCGCCGGTGATTGGCCGCCTGTGTGCCTCTCCTGAGCTACAGTTTCCGGTGGCCAATCAGCTTGAGGCGGAGCTGCTGAGCGATCCCGGAGGTGTGGCCGGGTGACAGCAGCGTATCATCCCGCCCACACATCGCCGGAGACTGCAGCGGTGTGCTCGGTTCCTAAGACCATCGGAAATATGTGTTTTCCGATGGTCTTAGGCGACCCCTGGGAAATGGTCGTTCGACCCCCAAAGGGGTCGCGACCCCCAGGTTGAGAACCGCTGCTCTAGAGGTTTCAAGGGGTTCCTTGTGCTATAGCTGATTGACCTCTCATCTGATGCCTGCATATTTTCAGAGCCAATGTCACAGCAGGACACCAACAATCTTTTTATCTTACAGGAACATTAACCCCAGGCAAAAGACAAAAAGATCAGGGCAGTCTCCCCAGCTGCCTTTCTGTCTTATCTCATAATACAGACGGTGTGAGCTTAGTGACATGCATCTGCACGGATGTCACAGCCGGATGACACAGCCACTGCTCCCAACAGACAAAAAGTGAAGATTTACTATAATATCAGAACATTTAGAAATGTTAACTGTGCCTAAGCAGTACCCTAAAAGAACCTGAAAAATTGCACTGCATTTCCTGCACCTATGAGTTGCTATAGGGGCACTTGTGTGGGGTCAATGGCTCCGTGTCCTGCTCTCTGCTCACAGGATTTGATTGACAGCAGCAGGAGCTCTTGCTGCTACTCAGGCTCCTGTGAGAACAGGGGAGAGAAGGGCAGCGCCACTGCAGAAGGGCACAGCCCTGAATTAACATTGGGCTCAGGTAAGTATTTCAGGGGGGCTGGGGGAGCTGACATTGAAAGTTTTTTTTTACCTTAATGCAGAGAATACATTAAGGTAAAAAAAATTACCTTTACAACCACTTTAACCCCCCCGGTCACGGTCAAGCCCGAATTTGAAATTGTGCGACTTACAGTGAAGTTGCACGATTTCACAGTTGGGTGAGATCCCAATTTCAGGTGCCATTTGCAAGACATCTGAGTGGCTAAATGGTTAGCACTTCTACCTGGCAGTACTAGGGTCATTGGTTCGAATCCCAACCATGGCACCACCTGCCTGGAGTTTGCATGTTCTCCCTGTGCCTGCGTGGATTTCCTCTGGGTACACTGGTTTCCTCCCACACTCCAAAGACATGCTGGTAGGTGAATTGAATCCTGTCTAAAATTGGGCCTAGTATGTGTATGTATGAATGTGAATTAGGGACCTTAGATTGTACTACACCCCTTGAGGGTTAGAGACTGATGTGAATGTACAATATATATGTAAAGTGCTGCGTAAATTGATGGTGCTATATAAGTACCTGTAATAAATAAAATGTCTATGCATATCGCACCAAAAGTAGTAACATGTACTACTTTAGAAATTGGTGGGGCTCTGACCAAGCCAGAACCGCACCGATTTGACCCCTCTAATTGCGGACAATAGGGTGCGACTTGGCATATGATTTGTAAGTCGCACCGATACGACCATGGTGTTAATAAACTGTATAAAGCCATTGAATATAAAGCTCCTGCCAAAACATATTCTTGAACCAGACCTTGTAATATTTTATATTGCATTGATCCTTTGTGCACCCCCACATACAGCATCATGCATATGTGATTAGCCATTTCAGGTAAAGGCTGGAAATACAAGAAAGGATGTAAGCTGTATGTAAACACATATTTCTTCAGAAATCGATTTATATGTCAAAAACATCCAGTTGTGAAAAGCTGCAGAAAATTACCAGAATGAGGTATCTGTCCTGGGTGGTACCATTCTTTGCAGACAGTTTCAGGATGTGTCCCTCTTTCATGAGCTCATTAGTGGGGCTGACAATATCCTCTTCACCACCTAACAGCTCATAGACTTTGAGGAGTTTATGCATCCTCTCCTGCAGGATTAAAAAAAATGAACAAATTACCCTGAATAACAAAATGTTCAATAATAAAATGACCAAATAAATGTCTAGAAAAGAGTGAGATATTCGTTATTACCATTTTCCTGATGGCTGCATTTGAGTGTTCAGCTGCTGTCGCTATTAGGTCCAAAGACTCTGAAAGATCAAAATGTACGGTACATTGTTAGAGGAACATAGTTCTCTATAAGGGTGGCATTATTCCCATTTTCTACTGACCCTCAACAAATTGGTTTTAGTAGAGGTTCCCAGAGATCAGAACATTATTTCAAGGGTTCCTCTGCAACAAAAAGGTTGAGAAAGGCTGATCCATTCTATTCAATTAAAAAAATTAAGTTTTGGCTTCAGATATACTTTTCCCAGCAGGTCTGCCTAATAATGTAGCTGGCGAGTGTGTGTTATAAATAGAATATGTGGAAAAGGTGACCTTTTTGTACGATAATACAATTTTTTGGTTGGTTGGTCATGGGAAAGAGATTCAGACAGTGGCCGAGTCCTGTCCTACATGATTTGTAATGCAATAATCCTGGACAATACATTTTTCCTGCACTATCTTCTCCACCGACAGCATCACCTACTCTCTGCATCTCTGCGGTCTCTGGAATCCTCCGGCAGTTTCTGGAGATAATCCTTCAGAAGCATTCATAACGAGGGATTCGCTGGACAGGCTCCAGCATGTGGTGCTGTAATGTCAGGTTACCGCAGGCCTCCTCCTTCTGAAACACAATGAAAAGATATGCTAAGGAAGGAATGTATAAACACCTGGCCTTTAAACATTGTCTACAGCTATGTCTATCATTATTTTTCCTGCCAAGCTGCTTTATAAAAAAAATTGCAAAACAAAGGGCCGGTGATACTTGTATACAGAGAAAAAGGGGCCCCAAGTTCTGGATCGGGGCCCCTTTCTGTCCAACAAAATCACTTATTTCAGCTGCCAATATCACTTAATTAGCTGATGATGATATTGTTGCAAATCATTTTTTTTCTATGGGTTTGTAACAATATTGGCCCTGGGCAGTGTTACTTGCATTCTTTTATGTTTATAAACAGATGTTTTTCATCGCCTTTTTGCTATCTGAAAAAAAATGTATTTTACAAATAAACAAGTAAAGCTGAACTATAGGCACAGATGAAAAACAACCCCAATTGTCTCATTTCTGATATACAAAAAAAATCTATAAAAATCTATTGTTTAACCATTTGCCGCCCGCCCTATGGCCGAATGGCGGGTGGCAAATGTCATCAGCGTTCCTGGTGGACGCCATATGGCGTCCTCCCGCACATGCGCAGATTGCGCTCCTGCAGAGCGGCGCAGCGGCGCGATCGGTCACCGGCCATGTACCTCGGACACGGCCGATGACAGATCTGAGTATTGGCCCCGTTGCCGGTACCATGTGACCTGCTGTGACCAATCACAGCAAGTCACATGACAGTTGTATACAATGGATGGCTTCATTCATGCCATCCATTGTATACTACTACCTAGCTGTGAATGGTCACAGCTAATCACATGCACATGTCATGTGATTAGCTGTGGCCAAATCACAGCTAAGCACAAAAAAAAAAAAAAAAAAAAAACCCTGAATGAATTGATGTCATTCAGGTAAATGCTTGCTTATAGCAAAGTAATTCTTTGCTATCAGCAAATTGTGTAAAAAAAAAAATACTGATCACTTCCCCAAAGTAGTACAATGCTACTATGGTAACATTGTACTACTTTGGTAATAGTGAAATATGAAAAAAAAATTTGATAAAAAATAATAATAACAAAAAAATATATATATAATTTTTTTTTTCATACGGTCACCAGTCAGTGTCCCTGATCACCGCCATGCCAGTTATATGATGACGCTGTACTGCACTGGTGACAGTATGTAAAAAAAAAAATAGTGAAACAAATTTTTTAAATTTTTTCATTTTCCGAAAAATTATGACAAAAAAAATACAACTTCAAAAAACTCGCCATGCCTCTTATGAAATACGTCGGACTGTCTACTCTGCAAAAAGGGGTCATTTGGGGGATATCTGTACTATTCTGACATTCTTGGACCTCAAGAAATTAGATCAGCTGTCAGTACTTCAGGATTGATCAATATTCAGATCTATACCATAGTTTGTGAACTCTATAACTTTCCTACAAACTAAATAATACATCCTAATTTGGGTTATTTTCACCAAAGACATGTAGCAGAATACATCTCGGCCTAAATTTATGAAGAACAATTATTTATTTGCAAACTTTTATAACAGAAACAAAGAAAAACGTGTTTTTTTTTTTTCAAAATTTTTGGTCTTTTTTTGTTAATTTAGCAAAAAATAAAAACCCCAGCAGTGATTAAATGCCACCAAAAGAAAGCTCTAGTTGTGTGAAGAAAATGATAAAATTTTAGTTTGGGTACAATGTTGTATGACCGTGCAATTGTCATTCAAAGTGTGAGAGCGCTGAAACCTGAAAACTGGCCTGGGCAGGAAGGTGTAAAATTGCCCGGTATTGAATTGGTTAAACAGACCCTGTAACTTGCAAAAAAAAAAAAAAATGTTTAAACATTTTGCTGCTGCCAGAACTTTTTTTGTTTTTTTTTGCACGTGTGTTTAACCCCTTGCCCTCCAGAGGATTTACCCCCCTTCCTGACCAGACCATTTTTTGAGATACATTGCTGCATTACTTAAACTGACAAATGCGTGGTCATGCAACGCTGTACGTACATAAATTAAATTAAATGATGTACTTTTTTCCCCACAAATAGAGCTTTCTTTCGGTGGTATTTGATCGCCTGTGTGTTTTAATTTTTTGTGCTACGCAGCGCTTTACATATATATTGTACATTCACATCAGTCCCTAACCCTCAAGGGGCATACAATCTAAGGTCCCTAACTCACATTCATACATACACATACTAGGGACAATTTGGACAAGATCCAATTAACCTTCCAGCATGTCTTTTGGAGTGTGGGAGGAAACCATATCCAGTATTTCTGCTATAGGGTGGCGGGGAAGCGGTTAAAATGGAACTAGAGGCAAAATATTTTTCTTAGTTTTGGATAGTAGTATGTGCTACTTTCCCGGGCTGCCCCGTCCCCGCCCCTCTTCCCTATTTATGAGGCTCATCCATCTGTTTGGGATCGGTCTTGAAGAAGGAGTTCTGTGCATGCTCTGAAACGCGTCAACGCCCCCACGCTCACGTCACTTTCGGTTTGCGTTCCACCTGGACAACGTGCGTTCCTGGAAGAGTGGTGGCCATCTTGGCCCCTCATCCTGAGCTCCCCCTGCAGCTGCGGGCCGGCACAGTGGGATGTTACACAGTGGATAGAGCCCCGCACTTTGATGGATTATTAAGGGCCTGTTATTTCTTTCACTTTGTAAGTGTTTTTAGCCGTTCTTATTAAAGCCACTTTTGGAGTTACTGCACTTAGAAGCGCCTTCTTGTCTCATCTCTTCTCCACTCGGTTTGCTTCATACTCTCAGAAGTGCTGCCCAGTGCATGTTTCTACAACCTACTACTGGCTGTCATCTCCTCATCCACAGTCTCCTCCACAGATGCGCCCTGTGAATATTTCCTAACATTACTTACTGTCACTATGAAGTGTCCTTTGTGCTGATGGCTGTTGCTTTAGTTGAAATCTGAAGTCCTCTGACCGCCCTCCCGCTATCAAGAGTGCGGACTATGCCCACCCGTTTTACCCCCTGCTCCTTTCATAAAAACTGAACCATAGCTTCCATGATTGAAAAGCGATCTATGAATGGAGGAGGTGGCGCAGGCAGGCCAGACAACGTACCTGCGCATCGCTGGCTTGCTTCTGGGTTTGGGGCGTGTATGTACGCACCCCCTGCCGACACGGCAATGCCAATGACTTTAGCTGAATTGAGCTGATTTCCTGTGGCCAAACACACCGTGAGTTCTGTGTTTACAAAAACGCAAAACTCTGTATACTTTGAACAGCAAGCTGTCTGTTTCTTCTCCTTGCAAAGCAGGGAGAAAAAACAGCCAGATAGTAAAGTAAAAGCAGCACATATTATAGTAATATATTGGGCAGCACAGTGGCTAAATGGTTAGCACTTCCACCTGGCAGTACTAGGGCCATTGGTTTGAATCCCAGCCACGGCACCTCCTGCCAGGAGTTTGCATGTTCTCCCTGTGCCTGCGTGGGTTTACTCTGGTTTCCTCCCACACTCCAAAGACATGCTGGTAGGTTAATTAGATACTGTCTAAATTGGCCCTTGTATATGAATGTGAGTTAGGGACCTTAGACTGTACACCCCTTGAAGGTTAGGGACTGATGTGAATGTACAATATATATGTAAAGCGCTGCATAAATTGACGGCGCTATATAAGTACCTGAAATAAATAAATAAAATCTGCCCATCCTCGATCCCATAGATCAGGGGTGTCAAGTCCCATCATTCCCCTGCCTTTGAGAGTCTTGCTTGTAACTGTCAATCTTGCAATACCTCATGGGACTTTTAGTTTGGCAAAACCTGGAGGGCCGCCAGTTTGACACCCGTGCCATAGTTCGTTGCTCATTCAATTAAAAATTGGAATGAACCCTGTCTATAAAATGTCATCATAAATCCAAGAGTTTCTCCTCAGCTAAAATCTTGTAGGACAGCTGATGGTTTTATGGTTATTATTATTGCTATTATAATTATAACCTTTATCCACAACACTGGTCACTTGTAGTATAATGATTATGCTGACAGCTCTTGTCAGGAATGGACTTGCCAGTGGTGGTGGGACTCACCTGCCTTGTGGGCTGCAGTACCAGGGCTGGCCAGCGGGTGCTCTCAGCAACCAGAGGCTCACTCCTGCAATGAGCCATCACCTGAAGCTGATTACAACAGGTGTATTTAAGGAATGGCCAGGCCTGTGATCAGGGCCTTGGTGTATGTTTCCCATGAGCCCCTGTACCTGCATCCTGTCTGCTTCCTGCCTGATCCAGATTCTGCTTCGATCCCTGACTCTGCATGAACTCCGCCTGTCCTGACCTCAGCTATTCCTGACTACTCTTCGGCCTGCTCCTTGTGCCCTGCCTGCCCGTTTGCTACCGACCCGGCCTGCCCGACTACGCTTAGTATTGTTTCTATTGTTATCTGTTGGAGGTTTGGGTTGGTTGTTTGCACTGGGTTGTTGTTTAGTCTTGCACTGCGTCTATGTTTTGTTTAGTCTTAATAAATTGCCTTATTCACACTATACCTGAAGTCTGCGTTTCCCTGTGTCAGTCCACACATTTCTGGTCATACCCGGATCCCTAACAGCTCTCCTGCCGTCTGTCCTTTATTTAGGTATATTTATGTTAAGATCAATGACATGCATGTGTTGTAGTTGACACTGCAAGCTGCTACAGAGAGAGAGATAGCCTGAGGACCCCATCAAAATTTTGCAGTGGGTCCCCATGATTCAAGGAACAAGCTGACCAGAGGAGACACCAGTAAGTATAAGGGGTGAACTGCTGCTGCTATTTCACTGTCCAGTCACAGGTTAGGAGCAGAACAGTTACCTGATTCTATTGCTTAGCTGGGCCAATCCTGGCTGTGCCGTGAGGCTGTGTAAATCCCAGGACTGGATTGACAAACTACAAATCTTTTTGCAGGCAAAACAGCTTCCATATATGCAATTCATCTGTGTACAGTATTTGGCTGTTTGCTTGGAGTTCAGATTTAACGTAGGGTATTTTTGTATTATTTAAAAGCAAACCTCGTACTTAGAAATCCCAGAAC